TACAGAGACGGCTCCGGCTGCCCCCGTCACCCAAAGCCCTTTCGCAAGCCGCCCCCGGCGTCGGCGCCGCTTACCGCTGTAATTCGGGCACCGTCTCCACGTTGTGGGCGTACACATCCAGCCCCGACGAGGCTACTTTCTCCACCGCTTTAAGGTCCCCGCGAAAATCGGGAGTGAGGCATTCTACCAGGATTTTTGAATTCCTGAAAAGTGGAGACTGAAAATGAACACATCTATGGGATTTGTGTCACTGTTGCTAAAAAACTCCATATAGCAAAAAAACCAAACGTAACTAAATAAATGACGCTCTGATGAGCAAAGCAAAGTTAATTCCGTACACAATTCTAACACAACACATTTCTGCAAACACTTGCATTACAATTCGAACGCTGTGTGTGGAATTCCTGGTTTTACTGATGTGAGCTGAAATGGAATGAAAGCCAAATAACACAAAAGCGATTCCAACAGTCTCTTAAACAATCACATTCACTGTTCATACGTGATTTTTCATGTGTCTTTGTTGCAGGTTATATCATAGCTCCAAAATACAGAGCGGCTATAACCCTGCCTACTGGGGTAAGAAGACCCTGCATTATCGCCCTGGAATCCGACCTTGGTGTCCAGGAGCCAGATTTCAGCTCAGAAAGGCAGGAGGGGAAAACTGCAGGAACCTTTCGAGTCCCAAGACACAGTGGATAAGGACTCAGATGAGGTTATACGAGTTCAATCGGCAGGCAGACGAGTGTGCTACCAAATGGTGCGCGGGGCACCGACGTCGAGCGAAGGTGGCACAGCTAGGGAAAGCAGGGAGGTACCATCACAGGCTGGGAAACAGCCATGGTGGGAAGGCACAAAGCAATCTGATCGCCGCTGAAAGAGGAACCCGACTTCTGTCATGTGGTGACGCTTATCTAAACCCATGTGTCTGAGCCCCAAGCTTCAAGAATGAACATAGCTCAAAGGTATGTACTCATTTCCTGGTAAACCAGCTGCCTGTTCAAAGAAAAAATCCAGTGCTTAGCTTTAAATAAGCCTGGGCTAAATTGGAAACGCATCCAAATCCAAAATACTTTGGGCACATTATATGAGAAAAATGAAACACAGGAAAACCAAAGGGACACAGATAGGCTAACGGCAGACGTTCGTGTTTCCATGGCCCCTGAAATAATCCCGCTAAAGGTAGTTTTGACCGATACGCAGTACCACATGCTAAAGTTTTAATAATAATAATAATTATAGTAGTAATACACTGACGATGTACCTTTCTTTCAGATGAGAGACTGTCTTTGCAAAGTGTTCTGCTCCACCGTCAGGCATATCTAGAAGAATTTCAATTACTCAGTTAACCTTTCTGTTCAAGGAATGTATTTACTTACTAGCAAAGCCACAAAACCCCTACAGATTCCGATTTAAATGCAAAATAATAAAGCAGTGAAAGCCCAGTCTTATCTTACTGCTTATGCCAAAGGTTTATTTTACCACAGATACTCTACCAAGCCTTGTTCTGCACAAAGTCTAACTGGGCAGACTCAGATGTTTACTCCGAATTTACCTGCCTCTAGGTTCACTGTCAGCCTGGGCACAGAATGGCTTTATCCATTCACGGTTTTGGTCTGAGAAACAGTTCTACAAGAACTGAAATGTATATATATATATTATTGCTCTTTTATTGTAAGACACTTTGAAACTACTGGACTTTCCACCATACTGAACAGTCTTTACAGTGGTTTTCCCCACCACAAAGGACTTATTACAACCTTAGAAAAAGGCAGCTTTCAGTTTTGTTCCATATAATATATTCCAGGTTTAGTTTTTAGAAGAAAGTCCTGTAATGGTATTGTATGTGAATGTGGGGTGGTTTTTTTCACTAATCAAGTGACAGAACATGGCGTATATGTATTATTTTGCAAAAAACGAGTTACAAAATATTTAGTATTGTAATATTCTTGATGTTTAATAACAGCGTAACTTCTGTTGTATTTTACCAGGCATAGAGAAATACTAAGAACATGTAGAAACTTTCCCAAGTTTCAACACCTTTGACTCGTTTAAAACTAATCCTCAACAATTGTGCCGAGTGGTAAGTGTTTATCGAGGCCTGTGTTCCCCCCCTGTAATGTGTGAGAGCTCGGACAGGAAGAGATGGGAGAGCACACCGTACTAACCGTCTCTGTCCACAGACGTCAATACCACATAGTCCAGGCCCCACTCCGCGATAGCCTTGGCTGTGTTGTAAGGCTCCGTGGGGTCCAGGGGAGGCGGATTTTTTGCTGTCTTTACCGAACAGAATCTGCAACCTCTAGTGCACGTGTCGCCCATCAGCTGAAACGAGACAGACATTCCTGCCGTTACATTGTACACATGGCCACTGCTCAGCTGAGGAGCAGCTGCGTCAGCTAGATCAGATGGATCCCAATACTAAGCCAAAAAAGCCAGGACAGTGCTTTACTCTCAACTTCTTGTCATAAGCCCCCTCCACCACAGCAGGGATCCAACAATACACTACAGAGAGCTCAAACGCTGGTGGAACACTTCAGGAGCGGTTAATGGCTTACCATAATAGTAGCTGTAGCTGTCGCATATTCACCACCTCCCCAGCACTCCCCAATGTTGGGACAACGTGCTTCTTCACACACCTAGAGGGACAAGGCCTTTTTTCAATATTATTATTGAAAACAGTTACTGTATTATTGATGAATTTCAACAGCAGCCTACAAACAAAGCACAATTCCTTCTGTGATAAATGAGGAGGTCAACAGTTACGTGCTGTTCTGTAAGAAGTCAGAAGAACAGCTAGGAAGAAAGAATTGTTTCCTGACATCCATCACCATTCTTTTCCTCGACTTTGCAGCTCCAAAAACTCCTCAACCACGCAACTGCCTTATTAAGTAGCACAGAATGTCATTAACATTTTAAAATCCATAAAACGTTCACAAAGCCTATGATGCATCGCAGCGTGATCCTACTCTGAAAACAATAAACAAATATGGAAAAAAACCTCTCTGTGCATACCCACCACCTTTTACCATCTGGAAGGTATATTTTATGAAATACACACATTTCTAGAACTTTTCATGCAAAACATGTATGTAACTCTGAAATTGTGTGTGTTTCCATTAAAAACAGTCAGATGTAGCACTTTCTGATCTCTTTGGTGATGCAAATGGTAAACCCTGGTATTTAAAATCGCAGCAGAAAAAACGTGAAATACTGTGTTGGATTTGTCTTCATTCTTTCTGGCTAAAATTCACTGCTGGCAAAAAGCATCAGCATCGGGCTTGGTTTCAGCGTTGGAGATCACACAAGACATGATTTCTACCTGTCCTCCACAGTGAAATAATTTTGTATCTGAAAAAAAAAAAAAAGCCTTATTTTTACAGAAAAACTTGGTTGGTACGAGATTTACCGTATGAAGATTTAAACTTCTCAAGGTATTCTTTAGTTTATTGTAGTTCTTTCCCATGGGAATCTTTGTTTTCAGCCATGGAGGAAGTCGCAGCCTGAATAACATCAAGCAAACATAAAGATTAATGAATTACTTAAATTGTAGGTTGCCATTAATGTCATAGATCTGCTTTAATTTGTTACAGACCCCAACTAGGAAAGTTCCTTGAAACCTGACGCAACTCAGCAACCAACATTAACACCGTTCATGGTCATAATGGACTTCTCTCGCCCATGTTTATCATCATCCCAACGTTCAAGAGTAGGAGTTTGCTGTCATTGCAAGGATTAAAACTGTTAACCCTGCCGGTGGGATTTAACAGTGCCACACTGGAGACTGCAACCATTAACGGTAGCGTTATGTCACACAGCTATCACAAAGGCTGATCAAATTTATAGCTGGAAATATGGGGGGGGGGGGGGTTAAGCATTTTTTTATTTAGTCTTCATTTTTCGTTGTACTCTATCAATAGTATTTCTTCAACACCAAGGTAGGGTACACTCATCTACTGATGGATATTTGTCATTTAATACAGGCCATGGCGCAGGCACTCAAGTGAGAAAATACCACCATGCCTTCAGGTTGTTACACATCTGAAGTGAATAATATGTTTGTTCTTGAAAAATTACTAAATTTGCAAGCCAGTACAACAGAATTTAAGAAAAACACATTGTACACGTTTTGTAGCTAACCCTAAGCCTGTGAGATAGTGCATCGAGGCAACTACAGTTGTTTAAAATTACAATTACCTTTCTCCTTTCTGACGCTTTAAATTGCCTTCATACTCAGCCCACGTGGTCTTGTCTGACAAATCTCCAGATACAAAGTCTTGTAAGTTTGGTCCATTTTGCAGAAACTCTTTTTTTTCCTCTGGCAAAGAACCTGAAGTTCTGTACCGGTTACACACATGGCTCCCAGACACCTAAGAGAGGCAACACTGTAATTTATGGAATTATAATGTACTGGTGTTATATACTGAATAACTACTTGCCCTTTTGGTGGTTAATGTACACTTTCCGCAAGCATTTTCCCAATTGCCTTTAAGTTAAATACATAATTCTCTTTTTCATTTTAAGTCACGTGAAACAGACATAAAGCATGCTTTCTTCCAAAATATCTTCATGTCAAACCAAGTGATACAGGTTTTGGATACAAATAACATCGCTTGGATTAATTTGAGATTTCGGGGCTGAAAAACCAGACGCTGAGGCGATAACCGAGCGCTGCCAGCTCAGTCACCGCC